GGGGCCAATATGCTGAAGTGGCCCTCGGTGAAATATAGTTTGACACCTCTGCGGTACATGAATGTTATAGTGAAAGAAGAACAAGGAGACTTTCCCTCCAGCAATCACCAATGGTCACAAGTTTTAACTGTAAGAGTAAAATCTGGTTTGAAAAACAACTGGCTGAGAAGCATCTGGCTAAGATATCCTCTTGATGTCTTCTGATTTGGTGTTTTGGAGCAGGGATTGCCAGTTGGAGACATTATGTCTCATGACAGGCTGAAATGGCTTCCGGTTGACCTTTAGGGAGACAGAGCAGGAAAGGGGATCCGCTTTGCTGAAAGAGTCTCCCCCCATGGCCTTGTCTTGAATAAGCAGGAGAAGGTGAATATCTGATATCAAATCCAGTTTTGCGTTATATTCTTACTCAAATTGAGTCCATCTCTATGTTTAAATATGAATTCCAATTTCTGATTATAAAACGATCAGGTTGGACAGAAAAAACACAAAAATCAAGAAAATGGAAAATCAATGGCTTCAATCTCTATAGGCGCATAGAAATTAGCTGTTGTATGGAAACTGTGGCAGCACTTACTGGTTGTCTTGAAGTTGTGGTGGGAAGTAAAGTCACCACAGCAGAGTGAGAAGTTTTAAATGACTAGAGTGTTTAGGATCTGGGGTTTCATCACCAGCTCTTTACCATCTGTCTGACTTTCTCTTTCTTTCCTTACTGTAACAGAGAAGTGATCTGTCTCACCTAATTAATCCTGGAGATTTGCTCCATTCACACAATTTTTATTATAAATCTATTTTCACAAAATAAATACCCAAGTATAGTGAACAAAAATATAAACGTAACATGTCAAATATTGTTGCCGTGTGGAGTTAACCAATGTAAAAGAGCATTTGCTGACTTTTTATTGTACAAAAGTAATATTTCTCTTGATTTGTGTATAATTTTTAATCCAGCTTGTCATCGGTGAGCATTACTCAGTGAGTTGTGTTTTTACTCAGTGCATGGCTGGGGCATGTCCAGTGGGTGAGACAAAATGAGCAGCAACTGGACAATCCTTGGACTGGGAACAATGAAAGGCCCCAAAACGTCAAACTTTGTCACAAGTCATAAAGCCTCAGATGTCTCATGTTATGCCATCGGCATGTTGGATGCAGGGATGTCCAAAGCAGCAGCTGCACGGCTCTGTGTCCATTATCGGATCATCTGCTGTTTAAGAGTTGGTTTCCAACAGACTGGCACTTCTGCAAATCGACCTCATCCTCGTTGGCCACATGTGACCACTCCAACACAAGATGGCCACATCTGGCTCGTCCATCTGCGAGATCGTTTAAGACCAGGGATGCACACAGCTGATGAGACTATTGGTCTGGACGACAGACGCATCACACCTCAGACTGCCCGCCTACCAGAAGTCAACTGGGTCACAATCAAATTCCTCAACCTGACCCCATCATGTTCAAAGGACTGTCAATCCGCTACAAATGGCCACATCACGATGATATCGATGCAGATATGAAGATCAGTAAATACTGAAAATATAGTTTGAGAACCCAAATGTTCATAAAACTCTTATATTTGACATAGGTCGTTTATATTTTTGTTCAGTGTAGGCACCCCAACAAACAGAATAAGGAGCAAACAGTAAAGGAAATACTGGATAACCTTCATATTTCTCATTGTATGTCAAACAATATATCTGCCCGTTTCATGGATGTTATGTAAGCCACTACAATTCTCAAGCAGTTTGTCGACCCTTCTCTTGTTGTTACCATTATGTAGTTTCTTGTCTTTCCTTTTTTGCCACAGTTTCAGTTCTTTAAGTAAACACTAAAAAAGAGAGAAAATGACATCTGTTGAATGTGTTTCTAATGAATAAATATTTAAATGCTCCTCACATTGTTGCACAAATAGCTATTTATATGCAAGTGACATTTTCAAAGTGAATGTATTAAACTATATGTTTTTCTAAAGTTTAGACAAACCTAGATAAGTGAAAATAAGCCATGCCTTTATTTTAAAATGTTGTACATTTAAAATGTACAACATTTTAAACATTTATATAATAATATAATATTATTTATTATATAAATAATATAATAAGATCATATTATTTATTGAATTCCCATTTTGACTTAAGTTGCATTGACTAAAAATCTCTCTGAATGGTGTAAAATACTCAGAGAAGGTGCTGCCACAGTGCAACCAGCTATTACCAAACTACTGATCCAGATAAGCTGTTCTGAACAAATACTGACCAATATGCAGTTCCTTTGTCACATTTGCTTTCAATGAAAAATACCTGAGATAACTGCTAGATTTCTATTGAAAGCCTCTTTGTTTATGTTGAAATGTGCAGTCTGACTTTAATATTATTTTTTATGGAAACAGTCGGATATCTTTACATTTTATTTTCAAAACCCAAGAAAGCTGGTCAGTTTTTCTATATCAGAGAAAACAGAGACATGCCGGGGTAAAAAAAATATATTAATTGAAATGTAGCTTACAGAGTCTTTGATTTCTGAGGAAAAATGAAGAAGTCATAAAACAAATCCATTATAAGGAAGTTGTTAAAGAAAATACACTTACAGAGGACGAAACACAGTGACGTGAGCGCCATATCGAAAGCCGATGATATCACTTCGCCCTAACTCAGCAGCTTTAACACTTTGACAGGAAGGTGATGAACCTACAGGAAGTCATTAAAATGTTTAGAAAATATAACTGGTAATATTTCAGTAGAGATTCCTTTAAAGTGTCTCAGGTTTAGAAGAGCAAGTTTTCTGTTTCTGTTTAATTTTATGTTCTGTTGTTATATTAAATTAATTCACTGTTACGATGATTTTCATGTGCAACACCTTCAGAAAATAGCCGTCCAACTCAGCTGTATAACACCAATGTGTTTTTTTCTCTGCACAGAAAACCACAGTCACACTTTGCAAAGTATTTTCCACCAGGTCTTATGAGAACTGTGAACGTTTCTCAGCACAAATGCTGCTCAGAAAACAGGAAACGAGCAACAGCCATACTTTCAAAACCAAATCAAAGTTAAGATTTAGAAGACAACCACAAATATTTCTGTTACCATTTCCACAAACCAAATATGTAACACTTTGCTGTAGGGAGTGGCATAACTCTGACATGACAGTGTCGTATACATGATTTAACACCTGTTATGAACATGAAGGAGTTTTCATGAACGTTTACAACTGTTGTCATGACGTCTCATTCGGTAAATAATGACATTTTTAATGCAAAGTTGCATTAAAACTTGTATTAAAAGTTCATTAAAAGTGTCAATTTTGCATCATAGGAGTCATTATTTACCAAATGACACTTCATGACAACAGTCGTAAACTTTCATGAAGACGCCTTCATGTTCATGACAGGAGTTAAGTCATGTATACGACACTGTCAGTGTTATGCCACCCCGTCAAATAAAGAGTTAACATAAAGGGACTTTCTGTTCTCAAAGGGGCGGACCGAGGAGAAAAAGTGACCGAGGAGTTTCAGACACACTTCAACTTCCTGGTGAAATTTTATGTGACGCACCAGAAACAAGTCGTCAGAGCAGAAACAGAGACAAAATAACACAAAACACCAATTTCTCAGGAAGGAATAATTTTCACTTTTTCCAAGTTGAGGTCATGAAGAAATTACCCCGTATTATAAAAAGCAGTTTCAGAGTTTTAAAATGTTTTAAAACACGGTGAGCCGCTAGTGGGCAGCCATAGTGTCCCCACCAGTGGAGGAAACCCTGATAAACTAAATGCCTCAGCCCCTCTGCATCTGGGTCCACTTTCAACGATACCTCATCATGACACAGACATATTACCACCAAGCAATGCAAATAATGATAGAAACTGGAAAGTGTCACATTATAATTGAATCCTCCAGTCCTCTGAGGAATACTTTATGGGTATAAGTAGAGAAACTCATTGATGCTTTTATCTTTAGTCACATCGATTACTGCAACAGTTTCTTCACAGGTCTGCCTAAAAAATCAATCCTCCAGCTGCAGCTGATCTAGTGACTGATATTTTAGATGCAACCCACCTGGATCAAACGAATGGCTTGTTTGTAGAGCTGCGCTGCTGCTAATAAGGGAAGTTCACCTTTTTACTCAGGTGTGTTGGAGCAGGGATGCATCTTTCAGTTGCAGGGTTTGCTCTGGACCTGGGCACTCCTGTCTTAAGATATGCATGACGGGGTCACTGGTATCATTACATTGACAATAATTGTTCTCATGTCGGGTTTGTAATTCGTCACCATTGGCTGAATACTTTGAAAACAGACATGAGGATAATCCAGCGATTCTAAATGTTTTCTGGCAAAAAAAAAAAAAAAATTGTGTTTTGATTAGATAAATGATTTAAATAAAGCAATTTAATTTAGTCATTTGAAAAGTTGAAGGTTTTTTTTGCTGCTAGTGTTTTAGTCAACAGTTTTTAGATGAAATTAGGGCGTCTAATGTTTTATAAGTTGCAAGAAGACAGAACAGGGGGAGGAGAGTCAATCAAAGAGGTCTGAAGTTAAAAAATGTTTTCTTTAAAGTACATATATAATTAAATGCTTCTAGAAATTCTGAAAAAAAAGTTTTCATGTATTCCATGTTTTCCATAATTTGAATATGCAAAGAATATTCAGCTAAATTTTAATTCCTGCACAACCATTTTTACCACAAATGAAGGAAGAATGGCTTCTGATTTAATGACATGTTATTATTATTATTTTTTTACAATGAATGTGTATAAATCTAATAACCATGTTTTTTGGGAGTTCTGATGAGACAATCCAGTTACCAAAATATGCATTGACCCAATCCATCTGCATTGGTGCCCTACTGTGTTTAAAAATCCTAGACCCGCCCCTGGTGCAGGATATAAGGCGTGAATATGAAAGTGGATCCATCAGAGGGCATCAACCGATCCTGGCAATCCTCAGTCGTGGCTCAAGCTTCTGTATGAAAATTAATCTACAATGAAGCTGATTCCTGTAATGTTGCTGCTGCTTGTTTGTTCAGATTGTTTCCTCACAGAGGACACCAAGGGTAGGTCACTGGTCATTTTTCTTTATTATTACTTTTCCTTACTGCTTCTTTACTCTAAAATATCTAATGTGAAATAATATAAATCTCAGTGACATCATCCAGATCTCTGTGCGTTTAGCTGCTCACTGAATGTAAGAAATCAAATATAGTCTGGGAAATTAAACCTAATTTGATGGATATCTTTAAATGCTAAGATGTTTATGTTATTTGTAAACACTTCTTCAAAGAACAAAATATGACTCACATGCTTCCTCTTCACTATAATGCAGTTAAAGATCATTTCATTTCTGCACCACTTCTGTGTTTACTCACAGAGGAGGTTTATTATATAGATAAAGGATTTAAAGGTCTGAATTATGCATTGTAACATAAAATCCTAAAAGGTAAACAAATTTAAATATGAGGAAGATAGACACAGACTTCAGAACCACAGGTGGCTTCCTTGAGGAAAAGAAATAAACTGACACATGATTGTTCTTTCCACACTTACTTCTTCTTCCCTAAAATGACACGTCATTTATTGCAAATTGGAAATGTGTTGGACACAACAGAATGGACACATTGGGATGTTCCTGTTTATGGGAAGGTTTATACCTTCCCATAAACAGGAACATCCCAATGTGTCCATTCTCTTCGCAAAGTAGAAATAAAAGGATGAATCTTCACAAATAGCAACAAATATCCTGTAGTAGATGTTTTTGAAAAATCACAAGATTAATTTTTCTAAAGGCTATGATGTATCTTACTTATGTGGACTTGAAGTCTTTTTGGATGGAAAACCTTTCCACTAATTTGTGTTGTATGATCTTCATACTGGACGTCTGCTGAGTTAGGCCAGTCACTTTAAGAGGGATTATTAGCTATCGCTTGTTTTTAGTCTAAAAATCTGATTTAATTGATTGTGTTTGATTTGTAAGGCAACAAAAAGGGTAAAACATGCCACGCATGGGGTTGAATACTTTATATGCACAACGCATGATCTCTAATAAGGCAGCAGTTTGCATTTCACAGAATAAGAAATATGTTAATGGAAATGTACAAAGTGGTGAAAAAGTTTAACACCTGAGGAAAAAAGTGAAAACTCTAACAAGATGTTGTTGACATCATGTGGTTGTTTCTGGGGTTCATTTGTAAATGAATGGATACAAGCTCAGTTGGTTAAATCACATATTTTTCTACAGATCCAGATTTAGTTTGCCCATCCAGGGCCATAGGAGCAGTGAAAAGTGAGGACGTCCTACTGCCATGTCACCTGGAGCCACCAATGGACGCTTCAGCAGAAACAGTAAAATGGAAACAAGGGAATCATGTTGTCCACCATCATCATGGGGGAAAACATGATTCTTCAAAGCAATTGGAGCATTTCAGAGGGCGGACGTCTCTGTCCTCTGAAGGGCTGACCGAAGGAAATCTGTCCCTCACGCTGTCCTCAGTAGACCTCCTTGATGAAGGAAGATATAAGTGCTCTGTTCACACCGAGTCCATGAATAAAATGTGTTATATTAAGCTCAATGTTGGTAAGTCATTCTCAGCAGCTGAAAATCAAAAGGGCCAAATATTAAACATGTTTAATGATTAGATGTAGAGAGAAATATCTGAAAGGTATTTACAGAATTAAATTTGTTTCATGCTTTGACTTTAACAAGTTGGTAGTTTTATTTCTATTACCTTTCATTCCTTTGTGTAGCCAAGCAGCATATTAATATATAAATGTTAGAGCAGTGGCCAAAACCCCTGATAGTTTCAGCGTATTTGTAGTAAGACTTTATGTTTGTTATGGCTTTCACCTTTTATCTGGCCCAATCCTCAGGACATAAAGGGTAACTGAGGACCAGAGCACTGGCCTGGTGTATAAAGAATAACAGAGCAGGAAAACAAAATAAATAATATTCCCTGAACCTTTATTTAAGAAACAATGGTATCATAAATGTGCTACATGTTCATAAAGTCTCTTTTAAGTCCAGATTCAGGAGGATATGTGACCAGTTCAGTCAAGTCTTGTTTATTTGCAAAGCACATTTGAGCAACAAGATCAACATAATAAAAACTTCAAATAATCACCAATTATGACACAAGCAACAAACATTACATTTTGTGAAAATCAATCATCGAAATCACCAAGAATATTCTTCATCAAAAATGTTGATAAATGTTCCATTTGTTATTAATTAAAAGCAGCTCTAACCAGCTGGGTTTTAGTCTGGATTTAAAGGCACTCAGTGTTTCAGCTGTTTTACAGTTTTCTGGAAGTTTGTTCCAGATTCGTGGTGCATAGAAGCTGAAAGCTGCTTCTCCCCGTTTGGTTTTGGATTTAGACCTGAAAAATCTGGAAGGTTGATACAACAACAGATCTTAAATGAGTTTTGAAGACCTGCTGTTTACTGATGTATTGACAAGTTCAGATATTGGAAAATGTTCAATACGTTACTTCAATAATGCCAAAGCATCGGCTCAACAACAGCAGTTTGCACCAATAACAGAACTGCTCTCTAAGGAAAAATTAATAGTAAAATATGGATTTTTAGCCTGTACTGTACACAACAAAGGAGATGCATTATTATTAAATGGCTACACCAAAGAATTTAAGGTTATTTCTAAATTAAATGTTTGTTTCTACAGAACCAAATGTAGTCTGCCCCTCTGAGCACATTGAAGTGACAGCGGGTGATGATGTCATCCTGCCATGCCGCCTTGAGACGCCCGCAGATGCCTCTGGAAAAACACTTCAGTGGAGACAAGGAAACAACATAGTTTATGAAAATGAAAAACATGACACTGCAAAGGAAAAAGAGAGAAATACAGAACGGTTATCGCTTTTCCCCGAGGAACTGGCTGCAGGAAACCTTTCCCTGAAAATCTCTGCAGTGCGTCTCGAAGACAATGGAAAATACCAATGCAGCTTAATTTCACAATTAGTAGAGCAAAAGGAGTTGCTCTATTGCTCTATTTTTGTCACAGTAGGTAAGTTGGTGATATTTTTAGTTGACTAATAAAAGACGCCATCTTGACAACGCAGAATTACACATGCATGAATTTAAGCTTTGAATTATGAGTTTGTCTCACTCAGATTTACTCCTGAGTGCTACATGAACTATTAGACATCAGTTCTTTGTTTTTGTCTGTGGCCTAAAAAGAACTTAATGTTATAAAACCAAAGTGTATGTTGTTGTGCTACTGGAGAAAGGCACTGATGTTTTACAGTAACTGTGATTTTTAGTTTCTGCAGGTGACAGAGAGGTTGTGGGTCCAGATGAACCAGTCACAGTGGAGGTGGGACAGGTTGCTGTCCTGCCGTGTCATTTGGAGCCTCCGTCTTCTCTCTCAGATCTGACTCTGGAGTGGACAGTCAACAACTCCAAGGTGCACATTCACAGAAGTCACAAAGACAATCCCTCCATGCAAGATGAGAGATTCAGAAACAGAACATCTCTCTTTAACTCGGAGCTGGATCGTGGTAACATTTCCCTTATGCTGAAAAATGTCACCACAGAAGATGCAGGAAACTATTCCTGCTTCGTTCCCAAGTTGGATGGGAAAGTCAGGAGGGTGAATGTTACTTTGAATGTTGGTAAGTTTTAAATCTCTACAGTATAAACTGATCTTAGGGAAATATTTAAATTTTCTAACACATCTTGTCACGATTCTTCTTCAACATTTCCAGTAAAGACAGATCAGTGTACTTGTCCAGGTGTGTAAATATCTGTAGTGTCATCATTTCTCATCTTAGATTTTTGGCTGCATTTTGTCATATTTTAATGTATTTTTTTTTCTGTGTCCACACAAAAGTTCCTCCCCATAAAAAGCACAATAACGATGGTGAGTAGACATTTTCTTTGGATCTATTGAAAAATAACTTCCAAATATTAAGTTAATATTTACAAAGCATGATGCCGCCACCACCATGTTTTACTGTTTGCATGGAGATTATCTGAGTTGTTTTTGTACTTAACAAAACCTTTGTAACTGTGAAATATACTCTATTTTATGCATTCAATGTATTCTACAATGAAGTATACATTAAGTACAAACTCCTGTATTTCCTTACATCTACACTTAATAATAAGTTTTTTTTAATACGTAAGTTTTATAATAATCCATAAATAAAACTGAGCTGGACTGCATGTCTGGTTCAAGTGCACAGCATGTTGTAAATCTGAACCTGTTTTCTACGTTCCTTCACCTTGACGTACCTTCCCTTGGGGGTGTCGGGGGGATGCACTGATTTATGTTTTCCCATCCACCTGAATAACATGTAGTTGTTGGCTGACAGAATTATCAGCCAATCAAAATTGACATAGAGTTTTGATTGGCCCAGCATGAAGTAATTAAAGGCCCAGCAGTAATTCTCAACCCTTAATATAATCTGTAATGATTGGTCTGCAGTGTCCTTCGAAACTTAAAAATTGGAAAAATCTTACATGTTTCATATCTTTTCTTTCTTTCTGTTTTTTTTTTTTATAGAAGAATCATCTTCCTGCAATATTAGTTTGCAATATGTGGGACTTTTTTTTGACTTACTTCTTGTACTCAGCATAATTTTTTTATGGATTTATGAAATATGGAAGACAAGGTAAGTAACAATTGACTAACAAATAGTATAAGGCAGGGAAATATAGGACATTTTGCAAAGCACATTTCACACTCAACCTAACAGATTAATTAAAGATATTCCTCTTAAGAAAACTATGACCGAACAATACATAGTGAATGTAGAGAACTCAAGAGCAGCAGTTTTTCCATCTACGTCTGTTAGAATGAGCATCGTTGGATCCAACATCTTGGGGGAATAACTGCAGATATATGGAGAATAGCAGCTTCTCATAAATTCAGACTCGAAGATTAATCTTTAAAGCATTTTCTGGAGTAATTTTGCTGCACCAAAATGTTTCATTCTGATCAGAAATCTGACGCTGCTTCTTTCCAGGCTTATGTTTTATTATAAGTAACCAGTAATTATTGAAACACTGTAATAATGAATTTATTAAGGTGAGATTCTTTCCACCCTAGATTTTTCTAGATGTTTTTGTTTTATTTTATTGTATTTTGTCACCTATGATGTCACATCCTCTTTGTCTCTAAATATATCAAATTGTCCAGTGGATTGGAACCAACCCATATTAACTTGGTGAAACATTTAAATTACATTTGTTAGCTCACTTTGCATTGAAAATGAGGGGAAAAAAACATGATCAAGATTTACATTTTTATACCATACTCTTTAACATTAACTGCAAATGCAGTTATATTAGTCTACATAAGGAAGTGTTACTTAAAATGTATTTTAAGTGAGATGATAAAAATGATAATATCTTCCATAATGCCATGCATCACCACATGACATTATGGTAATGCATGGCACTCATTTGTGTTGTATTTGTTGGAAGCTACTTTTTCCTGATGCTCTTGAACGTCTCGTCTCCTCTGTCAGAATTGTTACATTAATCCGGAAATGGCTTAATTAGCTGGTCCTAGAAATACATTGCCTTTTGCTGCTACAAATTTAAAACTGGAGAATTGCATCAAATTATCTGTATTTTATTCTTTTGTATGATTATTTCATTCAAGCTTTTAAAGTATAATTGAAACACGTTGAGTTTATAAAATATTTGTGTTATTTAATAGGTCAACGTGCAGAACCAGAAGGAGAAAATCAGAACAATCTGAGAGCGATGCCACATGATGCTCACGGTGGTGAATGACTTGGACCCAAAGAGGCGGCTCACCAAACAGCTGCTTCTCAGTAAAAATAAATAAAACTGAAAATTTGATGTGCCGTGCAACAACAAAATCAGTGTTTCTAAATGGCTTTTTTCTTTATAAAGCAACAAAAGGCTGAGGAGAAATAAGCTGTGCTTTTTCTCACAGCTTTTTGAACATGCCAGCTGTTTTCTTTGGTTATAGTGTGCTGCAGTTATTGTGCCTCCTTAAGATTGAGTGAGATAGTATTATGTAATAAGTGGGAAGCTAGTTATCATTTGCATATTAAAAATAAACAATAATTATAAACAATAAATACATATTGCAATTTTTAATTTTGTCTCTGTTCACATTTATAGTAGTACCTTAAAAACTAAAGGTATATTATTCTCCAGCTACAGCTCTAGGATGTTTGCATTCTGTTTTTCTTCAGTTCAGGTAAAACTTATAGGTGGAAATGTGACTCCATAGAAAAAGCCAAGAAAACTCAAGTTAAAACCTTTAAAAAATGTCAATTGAAATTTTTGGAAGGCAATTTGTCGCCATCTGCTGGGCAGTGTACAGAATGCGCCTCTTTAGTAAAATAAAAATATTTTAAAATTTGCGTTTCAATGATTTCTTAAATTCCTTTATAAATACATATTTAACTTGACATTGACTCATGTAATGTTTGAATTACACGAGTTATTTCTAGTTTGCATTTCTCATTACTTCTCCTATTCGGTGGTAAAGAAAGTGAAAGAGTTTATGAATCGAGCTGCTTATTTTTTTAAACCAAGCGCGTTTATGCTTTTCTAATAAAAGCTTAGACAATGTTATCCATTTAAAATTTTAAATTCAACATTTTCATATGTTGTTTCGAAAGACTCTACACACAGTCATTCAGGCTGTGTGTAGACATCACAGCCTGAATGACCCAAATCCATTTTTTTTATGTTATGTGATCTGTGACCTTTTCGTGACAGTCTGAACAACACAGACATGATTTTTAGAAATGCAACCCAGGTCATTTAGATATGTGGCTCTATTTCAGATACGTTTCTGATCTTTTCAAATCAGACCTGAGTCTGTTTGTCCAGGTTGCATTTATCTGAACATCACTGAAACTCAACAAACGTCGCTATTCTACAAGCAGGAAGAAAAACAACAACCATGATGGACTATAATGAGGATTAAGATGTTAATGTTCTGGCTCTGGTCAGACAACAACCTTAAAATCACAAGCTAAGCTCACAGCTCAGATACTGAGCACTTCTTCTTCTGTTTTATGGCGGTTAGGAAAACACTGAGAGCGCTCTATGTGACATTATTGTGCCCAATATTGGGCATTCAGACACTTTCAGATTGTTTGTGGTTCACATTAGAGGATCACATGCCTATCACATTGGAGCATCTGCAGAGTGCAGAGCCCAAGTTTACCTCAGAGTTTCCTCCACCAGACATCTCTGTGGTTCCCTGTTGATATTTGTTCATTTCCTGAATTTAAAGCTAGTTTTACCTGCATACAGTTTAACTGTGTTTCATTTCATACCATTTAAACTGATATGTCTCAGTTGGTAATTTTGAAAAAAGGAAAATGCACTAAATAAAACGTATTTATAACTCAAACTGTTTAGATATTTATCACACCAGAGCTGCCCAGATGCCTTGAAATCAGACAATGGATGGATTTCTAAGATCAGACGTGTGTTATTTATTTCAAATATGCACCGTAAATTTATCTTAGAGATGTTTATAACTTTACATCAAAAATAATTTCTGTTGCGTTTCGATTTTACAGACTAACTTTGTATTATTTTTGACCACATCACCTGTGTGAGGTGACATGGCTAATGATGCGTTTCCAAGTCAACTACACAGCAGAGGAGAAGAAGGATGCCGTCCTGCAGCGCCGCCTGGAGCCTGAGCTGGACGTCACAAGTCTGACGGTGGAGTGGAAACTCCAGGACAAACTGGTGCATCGGCATCGAAGCCGTGATGACGAAGCATCTAAAGATGATTCAAGGATGTAAAATAATTTTAGAATGAACACAAAATTTTCTCTGGATCCTCAAATCCAGTTGGCTGGTGTCCTGTAGGCTTTTCGATGTGTCTCTGTTTCAACAAACCTGAGTGAAATAATCAGGTCGTTGGCTGGACTCTGGAGTGAGGAGGTAACTCAGCCATTTGATCAACCACCTAAAGGACCCTGCAGGATCTCTGCCTGCAAACAGACTGTATTATGGGAATGCTCTAATTCCTCCTGGTGAGGATTTTTGGTGCTGTAAAAATAAATAAATGTTTATTTATACTTTTGAAATGACTAATGTTTACTTTTATTTTTAAATGTGTGTCAAAAGTGTATATAAAAAGCATTCTTTACATTTTTATTTTTTGTGAATTTCACTTTTATCTTCAAAATATTTCCCACTATCATTTATTTGCAAAGGGATGTATTGTTGAAAGAAAGCTAATTTATCAATATATTATCAAATTATCCATTATTTAGTATAAATTAACTTCTTAAAAGGAAGAAGTTTTAGCTGTGGATGTTGATTTTTAATAGATATCTGTAATAATTGATTTAATTGACTTGTTAATTTGAGCTATTTACTAAGTCAGGAAGGTTATCCATTTTATAGATTTTAAATGGTGCTAAATGGTCTAATGTAGTAATTAAAAACCAAAAATATTCTTCATATTGTATATGAAAGAAAATAAATTATATTTTATAGAGTTACTTTAAAAAGAATATTAGTTATTTCTGTAATATAGAGTGATGTAACAAAACAAGTCTGAACAAGAAAAGTAGTTGAGTAATTCAAAGGGGAACTCCAAAATGAACCATCATTAATATTTTAATTTAATATTTAACTTTATCATAATCCATATTCTTAGCACTGGTGCCTTGCAGCCAGAAGGTTCTGGTTTCAGATTCTGCATGGAGTTTGAATGTCCCCTTGTGTCCATTGGCTCTTACCAGGTCCTTCAGCTTCATAGTCCAAAAACATGCAAGATGGTTTTACAGAGACCAACTACAGATTTCCAGTTCCACTGAAGCATCTCATGATGCGAGTCAAGTTTTGGGTTTTAGGGAGGTTCTACACTGGAAAATCACAAAATTATTGTCTAGTTTCTTGTGCAAATATCTTAGTAAATAAATAAACTTAAAAATAGCTTTTAAACAAGATATGGGAGTTGGTTTTAGCGAGTTGGCCAATAATTCCTTAATAGTATTGAAAAAGTTGACTAGATTGTGGAATGGAAGATACTTTAAATCACTTCCACAAGATGATGAGTCTAATGGCTCTGTAAATCTGGTGGCCGGGCGGCTATAAGCAGCCTGTTTATGATAAAAGATTCTTAATACGCCATAACACGGATCATGTGGTAGATATCTAACCGCTGGTTCGGTTTTATAACAGTTTGCATCTCTCCAGTTCAGAACGAACGGGTGAATTTTGACTCTAAGGGTTTACCACACTTATCAATAACTCCACCTTTTTATGTCTGACGTTGACGTTTTATGTTCCGGGTTACACCGGCTTGGCAGAAAGCAGGCATGTTTTTTGGAACTGCGACCATCTCTAAATGAAAATGCTCCTGCGAGTGAAGAAAACGTCTAAGAATTTTTGGAGGGTTTTCATATTTGTTTTAGTTTCTGTGGAGAAAGTTCACGGTTAGTAAAACTTTTTCTCTAACTGTCCGGGAAGTTTACTCCCGCTGTCGTCCTTTCATTTGTCAACAAATTGACATATCAACACCTACAGATGCTGATTGTTACCGGAGGTCGGTCTGTAGTTTGTCCAGATTGTGCAGTAACTGCTGTTTCCAAAGCCTGGGGGAAACACCGGATGAAAGCGATGAGTTACTATTCGGGTCAGATTATTAGCAGCGACATGCAGGACTTTCTTAAGAAAAGGTGCGGGTAGGATAACAAGACAGCAGGAAGAGGAGCTTCATTTATTTATATATATTTTTCTAGGGTTTTATAGTAAAGTAGTTGAAAATGAGTCATTCTGCATTTATGTCTGGGTACAGCATTGGAACTGGGTTTAGTGTGGCTGATTAATCCTCTGACTTTTTTTATTTTCTCCGAAAAGAATTTGGCAAACTCGCTGCAGGCCGTGTTTGATTCAGGAGGTGACGTCACTGGAGGGCGTGCGAACCTGTCAACTGTTGCAAATAAAACTTGAGCATCGTTCATGTTTTGGTTTGATTTCCACCAAGAACATCTCCTTGCATGNGTAAATATCTGTAGTGTCATCATTTCTCATCTTACATTTTTGGCTGCATTTTGTCATATTTTAATGTTTGTTTTTCTGTGTCCACACAAAAGTTCCTCCCCATAAAAAGCACAATAACGATGGTGAGTAGACATTTTCTTTGGATCTATTGAAAAATAACTTCCAAATATTAAGTTAATATTTACAAAGCATGATGCCGCCACCACCATGTTTTACTGTTTGCATGGAGACTACAGACTATCTTTGTTTACATTTTTGGTTGGTGGTGTGCCTCATGACTTTTTCAATTAAAACAATGTACCTTGGCTCAAAACAGGTTGAAAAACACTGGTACAGAGGTTGTCATACACTTGGGTCAGCATTTCCTCTTTGCTCTGTACACCAGTGATTTCAGCTGCACAGATACTTGTCATCTACAGGAGTATTCTGACAACTATGGTGGTGATGAGAAAGAAGATAAAATAGTGGTAGACAACTTTGTTACATGGAGCATGAAAGCCCATTTAGAACTGAAGAACTTTTTGCGGACTTTAGACCAAGTGCGCTGTGACCTGGGTTAATATTTGTGCGGTTAGGGTTGACAGGGTAGACTAATCATTATTCTTTCTGTAGAAAGAATAATGATTAGTCTAGAGTGTTCTTGAAAGCTTAAAAAAAGATCTTACATATTTATTTTTTTATTTTTATTTTTTTTTACAGAAGAACCATCTCCTTGCAAGACAATTGCTCTGTATCTTGGTCTGGCTCTGGGACTGGGACTGGGTTTTGGCTTACCTTTGGCCTTCTGCATAATTTTTTACTTATGGAAGAAATGTGGAGGAAGATGTAAGTAATGCGTGACCTTGGGTACAACTACCACTAACAGAGAGTGTCTGGAGAATTTCAAATCATCCTTTTTACCAGATTATCACACAGATAAACTTGTAAAAATTAACGGAGGCACTGCTTGTAACTTAGATACATTTTGTTTGGTTTACAGATGCCCTGGAAGGGTGAGAGTAGTCAGAATTTATTTTATTATACAAAAATGGCCAAGCTAAAAATAGAAGTATGCTGGTCCTGGGAACCTTACAGCTGAGATCTAGTTAAACCCTATTTAAATAAACTACACTGGTTGAGGGAGGAATAATAATAATAATAATAATAATTAATAATAATAACAAAAGAAAAGATAAAACTCCCCTTCCACTATGCTCCCCCACACACACAAAAATGCTTAATACCTATATAAAGTTGCTTTCAAAAGGTGCTTTTAATCTGACAAGACTCATTGGGATGTATTATTGGGATCTAATTTGTTCAATATGTCTGTATGTGGTTCATCCAAACCGTTAAAACTATGGTATTAACTTTAATTCTCCAACATCTCATGAACAAAAAAGAATCAAACTGTGCTGATTGAACAGTTTGAATGAACAGTGTTGCACCCAATAACTTAATTGCAGATATATGGAGGAAAGCAGCTTCACATGAATTCAGACTCGCAGATGAATCTTTAAAGCATTTTCTGGAGTCATTTTGCTGCTGCAGAATGTTTCAATCGGATCAGACATCTGATGCTGTTTCTTCATGGCTTATATTTTTATTAAGTAAACACTTTGAAGTATTATAGTCATGAATTTCTGAAAGTAAATAGACTGAACTTATATAGTGCTTTTTCAATCTTTTGACCATGCAAAGTGCTTTTTGCTAGTCACGTTCACCAATTCACACTCACAAACATTTATACACCGATGTAGGCAATTTGGGGTTAAGTTCCTTGCCCAGGGTTACACTGACATGTGGCAGGACAAAGCTGACATCGAATTTACAACCTTCCGATCACAAGACAACTAGAGTTTATTTGTAGAGTTTATTTGTAGGAAGCTACTTTTTCCTGATGCTCTTCAATGTCTAGTTTCGTCTGTAGGAATGTCAGAATCAGAATTATTACATTAATACAGAAATGGCTTCTTTGGCTGGTCCTAAAAATACATTTCCCCTTTCTGCTATAAATTTAAAACTGTTATTGAGTCAAAGTATCTGTATTTTATTCTTTTCTATGGTGATTATGTTGATTTTTAATGTTTAAAGCATAGTTAAAACATAAACATACTGATTTAATAAAAAATATATGTGTTGTTTAGTAAATGGATTTGCAGAACCAGAAGGAGAAAATCAGAACAATCTGAGAGCGATGCCACATGGTGATAATGACGGTGAATGACTTGGACCCAAAGAGGCGGCTCACCAAACATCGACTTCTAAGTTAAAATAAACAAAACTGTTAATTTCATGTTCTGTGCAACAACAAAGCCAGTGTTTCTCAATCCTTTTTTTATTAAAGCAGCTTCTTGAACATGCCAGCTGTTTTCTTTGACTATAGTGTGCTGCTGTTGTTGTGCTTCCTTAAGATTTAGTGAGATGTAGTAGCATGAGATGCTGCTTTTAACTTTCACAGGGAAGCTAGTTATTATTTGCATATTCCATTTATATTTTTATAAATCCCTTAAAAATTTAAGTAATATCCTTCTTTAGCTATGGCTCTAGGATGTGTACATTCTGTTTTTCTTCAGTTCACTTCATAGAAATATCCAAGAAAACACAAATTTAAAAAATGTAAAATTATTAATTGAAAATATTGAAAGGCAATTTGTCGCCATCTGCTGGGCATTGCACAGAATTTGTAAAAAGAATTTGTAAAATAAAGATATTTTAAAAATTGCGTTTCAATGATTTTTTTTTAAAATTCCCTTATAAAGACATATTTAACTTGACATTGATTCGTGTAGTATTTGAATTATTAACCAAAAATAGTTAATTTGTTTGTTTATCCATTTGAAGTTTGCATTAGTCATCGTCCCTTCTCCTATTAGTTGGTAAAGAAAGTGAAAGCATTTATATGAATCTAGCTGTATATTTTTTAATCCAAACGCTCCAAGAAGAATCAACATTTAATCATTTTTGGTAACTTTTAAAGCCTAGTCTCTACTCTTCTCTTCTGTTCATGTGGGAGAAATGTTAAGACTGTTTTTTAGGGCTCCTTGGCTGACACTCGTTTTTATTTTCCTCCATCGCGGAAGTAGCAGGTATGTTCCGATTATTTCGCCATTTTGTGAATTTAATTTTTGTTTTCGAATCCAAATATGTTTCTCTACATCAGTGCCAAAATATTTTAAATTGATTTTAACCCTCATCCAATCATTACAAACAACGCTTAAAGCTGTAGAGCGTCACTCCAGACGTATGTAGGTCTAAAATGGGTTACCTGTGCAACTAAGACTTAAGGTGAGGAGATATTATTCATGGCGTTTATGTTTTACAAATAAAAGCTCAAACAATGTTATGTATTTCAAATTTTAAATTCAAAATTTTCATAAAGAAAGCAGATCAAACCCTATTTATCACTACTTATCTTTCAAGAATTAGTTTCTGTCTAGTAAGGGTGTCCAAAATGTGGACCAGGGCCCATTTACAGCCCATTGAATGATTTTGTGTGGCCTGCAATCAGAGGGGGTAACATTTACCTACAAAGTTTTAGTATCTAATAAGCTACATCCACATCACAGCCTGAATGACCCAAATCCATTTTTATTTGCCATTATGTGATCTTTATCTGATCTTTTCATGACAGTCTTAACACACATAAGAATTTTAGAAATACAACCCAGACTGCTTAGATATGTGGCTCTATTTCAGATACGTTTCTGTTCTTTTCAAATCAGACCTGAGTCTGTTCGTCCAGGTTGCATTTATCTGAACATCACTGAAACTCAACAAACATCACTATTCTGTGCTCTGATACGCACAAGCAGGAAGAAAAACAACAACCATGACAGACATCCATCTTCTTTACACCCTTGTCCCTCAGTGGGGTCAGGAGGTGCTGCTGCCTCTCCAGCTAACGTTCTGGGTGAGAGGCAGGGTCACCCTGGACAGGTCACCAGTCTGTCACGGGGTAACACACAGGACAAACAACCATGCACACACACACACACTTAGGGACAATTTGGAGAGGCCAGTTAACCTGACAGTCATGTTTTTGGATTGTGGGAGGAAACCAGAGTACCCACCATGCACAGGGAGAACATGCAAACTCCATGCAGAAAGACCGGGGCCGGGAATCGAACCCAGAACCTTCTTGCTGCAAGGCAACAGCTCTACCAACTGGGCCACTGTGCAGGACTATAATGCATTAAGATGTTAATGTTCTGGCTCCGGTCAGACAACAACCTTAAAATCACCAGCTTAGCTCACAGCTCAGATGCTGAGCACTTCTTCTTCTGTTTTATGGCGGTTAGGAAAACACTGAGATCGGTCTATGTGACATTATTGTGCCTAATACTGGGCATTCAGACACTTTCAGATTGTTTGTGGTTCACATTAGCTGATCACATGCCTGTCACAATGGAGCATCTGCAGAGTGCAGAGCCCAAGTTTACCTCAGAGTTTCCTCCACCAGAGATCTCTGTGGTTCCCTTTTGATATTTGTTACTTTCCTAGATTTACAGCCAGTTTTACCTGCATACAGTTTAACTGTGTGTTTCATTTCATACCATTTAAACTGATATGTCTCAGTTGGTAATTTTGAAAAAAGGAAAATGCACTAAATAAAAAGTATTTATAACTCAAACTGTTTAGATATTTATCACACCAGAGCTGCCCAGATGCCTTGTAATCAGACAATGGATGGATTTCTAAGATCAGACGTGTGTTATTTATTTCAAATATCTACAGTGAACTTATCTTAGAAATGTTTATAACTTTACATCAAAAATAATTTCTGTTGCGTTTCGATTTTACAGACTAACTTTGTATTATTTTTGACCACATCACCTGTGTGAGGTGACATGACTAATGATGCGTTTCCAAGTCAACTGTAGGTACCTTTTGCCTTGTTTGCAGATTCCTTCATAATAGCCGGGTCCTGTAAACCTAATTCTGTTATATATCATCCATGTTTGGACTCAGAACAGTAAAAGCAGTCAGATTTTCCTGAGGACATAAAATGCAGTTCAAGTAAATGTGATTGATGTAAAATAATAGAAAAATCAATACAATACAGCTTCAGTTTCGCTTCCTCTGCAGCAAAAATGAACAGTTCAGTTTTATGAGGAAGAAAGCTGAGTCAGCAGAAAAAATCCATGTTCACAGACTGGCTAAAATCTGAAGAAAAAAGAAGAATAAAAGCAGAAGCTCTGAGCTCAGAATACTTTTATTTAAAGAAATAATAATAAACAACAGATCTTGTCACATTTCATTTTAGTTTACATATTTTATTTTATGGTTTCTCCAGTTGAGTATAAGGTGTTTGGTCCCTCCAAGCCAGTCACAGCAGAGGAGAAGGATGCCGTCCTGCAGTGCCGCGTGGAACCTGAGCTGGACGTCACAAGTTTGACGGTGGAGTGGAAACTCCAGGACAAACTGGTGCATCGGTATCGAAGCAGTGATGATGATCTCGTCTCTCAAGATCCAAAGTTCAAAGGTCGAACGACTCTCTTTCGCAAAGAAATGGTCCAAGGAAATATTTATCTGAAAGTAACTAATGTAACTCAAGAGGATGCAGGAAATTACACCTGCATAGTTTCCAAACTTCAAGGTCAAGTAAAGAAGGCAACTGTTACCCTGAATGTTGGTGAGTTCTGTTCGTTTAAAACAGTAGTCTCAAACTGCAATCCTTGAGGGGCAGAGTCCTGCAACCTTTAGAAGACACTTCCCCACTAGCATGTAGTCAACAGAGCTCTGCTAATGAGCTAATATCACAGTCAGCTGGGCTGAAGCTGAATGCTGTTTGAGACCATTGATTTAAAGCAAACAACTAGGAAACACACTCACCAGCCACTTTTTTAGGTACACCTTGATAGTACCGGGTTGGATCCTCTTTTGCCTTCAGAACTGCCTTAATCCTTCATGGCAGAGATTCAACAAGGTACTGGAAACACTCATCAGAGAGTCTAGTTCATATTGACCTCATAGCATCATGCGGTTGCTGCAGATTTGTTGGCTGCATATCCATGATGTGAATCTCTGGTTCCACCACATCCCAAAGGTTTTGAGTTCAGTGAACTGATTCTTCAAGAAACCAGCCTGAGATGATCCAGGCTTTATGACATGGAGCGTTGTCCTGCTGGAAGTATCCATCAGAAGATGGTCCACTGTGGCCTTAAAGGGATGGACGTGGTCAGCAGCAATACTCAGGTAGGCTGAGGCGTTGACACGATGCTCAGATGGTACTAATGGGCCCAAAGGGCCAGGAAAATATCCTCCCACCATTACACCAGCCTGACCCGTTGATACCAGGCAGGATGGATCCAGGCTTCATGTTGCTGACGCCAAATTCTGACCCGACCATCTGAATGTCGCAGCAGAAATCCAGACTCATCAGACCAGGCGACATCTTTCCATCTTCTATTGTCCAGTTTCTGTGAGCCTGTGTGAATTGTTGCCTCTGTTTCCTGTTGTTAGCTGACAGGAGGCACCTGGTGGGGTCTTCTGCTGCTGTAGCCCAGCCGCCTCAAGGTTTGATCTGTTGAGCGTTCAGAGATGCTCTTCTGCAGACCTCGGTTTTAAACAGACTGACCATTCTCCTCTGACCTCTGACCTCATCAATGCATTCGTGCCCACAGAACTGAGACTCACTGGATATTTTCTCTTTTTCTGACCGTTCTCTGTAAACCCTAGAGATGGCTATGAGTGAAAATCCCAGCAGATCATCAGTTTGTGAAAAACTCAGACCAGCTCGTCTGACACCAACAACCATGTCACGTTCAAAGTCACTTAAATCATCTTTCTTCCTCGTTTTGATGCTCGGCTTTAACTGCAGCAGATCGTCTTGGCCGTGACTACAGGCCTAAATGCAGTGAGTTGCTGCCATGTGATTGACTGATTCGATATTTGCATTAATGAGCAGTTGGACAGGTGTACCTAATAAAGTGGCCAGTGAGGGTTTATAACATGATTCTCATCACGTTGAAACTCAGAGACTGATTTTCTTGGATTTTGTGCTAACTAACTCAAAGTAATTGAAAATTCTGATTGTGATTTTAGTTTAAAAATATTTTTTCAAAAAATATTCTACTTTGTGGTACTGTCTTACTGCAATTACAGGTGCAAGTCTTTTGAGGTATGTTTTTACCCACAAAGTGGGTTAAGACATAAATAATAAATAATTTGACCTTCAAAACAGCCCAAATTCAGTCAGATTGGGTGGAAAACATCTGTTAACATCAAGTTGTAAGTCTTACCACAGATTCTCAGTTTGATTTAGGTCTGGACTTTTATTAGGCCATTCTAGTATATAAATATGTTTTGACTAAACCAGGGGTCCTCAAACCCAGGCCTTTGTCCTTTACCTTTTAGATGTGTTCCTGGTCCAACACACCTGAATCAAATGGATGAATTATCTCTCATCTGGACACATAACTTTGTCCTATCACTCCTCTGGATCATCCGGATGATTCAGAGGAGTGGTCAAACTTAAGACAGACCTGGACATCCATCCATCCATCCATCCATCCATCCATCCATCCATCCATCCATCCATCCATCCATCCACCCATCCATCCATCCATCCGTCCATCCGTCCATCCGTCCATCCATCCATCCATCCATCCATCCATCCATCCATCCATCCATCCATCCATCCATTTTCTTTACACCCTTGTCCCATAGTGGGTTGGGAGGGTTGCTGGTACCTCTTCAGCTAATGTTCCGGGCGAGAGGCGGGGTACAGACCTGGACATGTGCTGATGTAAGAATTTTTGCTGATTGGCAGGTGTTCAAATACTTTTTTTTTAAAGAAAAGTCAGACATTGTAATTTCTGGATTTTTTTAGATTATGTTTCTCACAGTAGACATGCATCTAAGATCAACATTTCAGACCCTTCATGATTTCTAAGTGGGAGAACTTGCAAAGTCGCAGGGTGTTCAAATACTTATTTTCCTCACTGTATGTTTGGCAATGTGAATGACCACACAAAATTGAAATTGAGCATTAAGGCCAGCAGTGTGATGTGGCCGGAAACAAATACAACAGCAACAGCAAAGACTTAGCATTGACTAGAATATGGTTTTATTTGCATGACGCTACTGTATTACCTAAGTAACGAACTGAGAATCATTTTGGCGCTTTGCACGTCACGCATTACTTCCCCCATTTTTGTATTTCTACTCTGATCTAATGTGATGCCAGATGCAGCTTTTCTTGTTTAAACAGAGCAATATCTCCATATCCCCTTTTTGTGAAGGCAAAACTGCTACTGACACAGTAAAATCAGCTTTATTAATCTCAACAGGGGACAGTCTACTTTTTTCTGTTTTAACCACATTTCTAGTCTTTTCAAGAACCAAGATTTGACCCACATAAATAACATTTTGACAATGTTTGTGGGTTTTTTTCCTAAATAATGGCGATTTTTCTTTGCTCCATGTAAAACTGATCCAGGTCACCAAAGTGATCGAAGTGTCTCATCAGCAACATCAGTAATCGCATCGACCAGTGAGTAAAGGCTAAGAACTTTTCTATAATAGGAGAAAATAAGATCACAGATTACTATACCAAGAACAGTTGCTTTTGTACTGAAACTATGTTTAACAAGTAAATAAAGAAATAATCTAATTACAAAATATAACACTTATGCTTTCTTTCAGGCGGTAACATCTTCATTTGTTTTGTTCTTCCTGTGTTTTCTGTTCTGTATGGAAATGTGAGTAATTAATTTATTTTCTATAAAATTTTAATTACATGATTACATACATATTATAGATAAGTTTGTTGAAGATTCCATATTTTACTGTGGTGTTTTAGACCAGTGGTCCCCAAAGTGGGTCCTTGAGGCCCGGCATCCTGCATGTTTTATTCTCTCCCTGGTTTAACGCACCTGGATCAAATAATGGTTCGTTAGATGGCCTAAGAGGAACATTGACAAGCTGAAAAGGTTGTTACTATCACCAGGGAGAGAACTGAAACGTGCAGGATGCTGGGCCACTAGGACCGACTTTGGACACCCCTGCTTTACATCATTATCAATAACTATTATGTGATTTGTATGCTTTGATGTTTGAACAATAATTTTTTTTTTTTTGGATTCTAAAGTTGTCACTACAACATTTAACTGCATGTTTGTGATGATAAAACCTCTCTCCAGCTCTTGTCAAGAAGTGGAGAAAAAATAAAATTCCATTCAAAAGTGATATGACAACAAGAATGGAAACTCTTCACACATTTCCAAAACAAATCAGAGTAGGTTTATGAAGCTAAACTGAGGGTGTTTTTGTACCTGACAGTTCCACAGACTCGGTACAACTACGGACCAAAATTGCAATTAAAATTGAATTAAATCCTCATGAACCACAGTCCATACCAGTAGGTGGCAGTAATGGTATTTAACGTATTTTTGCCAGGCGTCAATAAAAATCAAGAAGTTCACTTCAACTGAACAGAAGGCGTAGGTTTGTAGGTGGGCCAGAGTTTGCTTTATTCATCCACATTAGAGTTCAATTGTGCATTCACACCTCCCTAAACAAGCCGAACTTTCTAGAAAAACAATCTAGAGTTTGATTTCAGCGAATTGAGCAGGGCTGATGTGAATGCGCCCTAAAATGTGCATCTACAGTCTCAACTGCTTCCCTGTGTTGTCCAGGTACAGTAAAAAGCGAGACAGCAGGACAAAGACAGGAACATGAAGACGTAGCACTAACTTCTCCTGGACCCGTTTCTTCACTGGGACCAAACAATGATAACTAATCTGCTGAAGTCAATACTAACAGTAACAACACTAAATCACCACAATGATTCTTCTTTTTACAATAATTACAGTGATGATGCTTTTAAATTGTATTATTAGTCTGTCTTTTAATGTCATAATTATTAGGACTGTTTTGAGATGACTTATTTTAGTTTATATAGCTAGCCATTTTAGTTTAAAAAAAAGAAATTGTCCATGTTAAAGATGATTTAAGGATGTAAAATAATTTTAGAATGAACACAAAATTTTCTCTGGATCAGGGATCCTCAAATCCAGTTGGCTGGTGTCCTGTAGGCTTTTCAATGTGTCTCTGTTTCAACAAACCTGAGTGAAATAATCAGGAGTGAGGAGGAAACTCAGCCAATTGATCAGCTATCTAAAGGACCCTGACCCTGCAGGCCTGGATTTGAGGACCCCTGCCTAGAAACCAGGTGCGGAGCTATAGGGGGGGCTGGAGGGGCGGCTGCCCCCCAGCCTGGGCCAGATGTGGGCCCGGGTCTGGAGTTCCCAGGAAGGGAGGAATGGTTTCAAGTCACTTTAATGTCTGATTGTAGACAGAGAAAGTGCGGCCTTGCCTGTTCAGAAAGGTGTATGTAATGATAAAGTTACTGTCCCCCCCGCCCTCAACAGTTTCCAGCAGCGCAGGCGATACACGTGAGGGGCCCGGTCATTGGCCTCACCCCCCGGCCTGGCGCTGACTTGTTCCGCTAGTGCTAGAAACAGGCTGTATTATGAGACTGTAATGCTCTAATTCCTCCTGGTGAGGATTTTTGGTGCTGTAATAAATAAATAAATGTTTATTTCTACTTTTGAAATGACTAATGTTTACTTATATCAAAAGTGTATATAAAAAGCATTCTCTACATTTTTATTGTTGTGAATTTCACTTTTTTCTTCAAAAATATTTCCCACTATCAATTATTTGCAAAGGAATGTATTGTTGAAAGAAACCTAATTTATCAATATATTATTAAATTATCAATTATTTAGTATAAATTAACTTCTTAAAAGGAAGACGTTTTAGCTGTGGATGTTGATTTTCAATAGATATCTGTAATAATTGATTTAATTGAATTGTTAATTTGAGCTATTTACTAAGTCAGGAAGGTTATCCATTTTATAGATTTTAAATGGTGCTAAATGGTCTAATGTAGTAATTAAAAACCAAAAATATTCTTCATATTGTATATGAAAGAAAATAAATTATATTTTATAGAGTTACTTTAAAAAGAATATTAGTTATTTCTGTAATATAGAGTGATGTAACAAAACAAGTCTGAACAAGAAAAGTAGTTGAGTAATTCAAAGGGAAACTCCAAAATGAACCATCATTAATATTTTAATTTAATATTTAACTTTATCATAATCCATATTCTTAGCACTGGTGCCTTGCAGCCAGAAGGTTCTGGTTTCAGATTCTGCATGGAGTTAGAATGTCCCCTTGTGTCCAGGTCCTTACCTGGTCCTTCAGCTTCATAGTCCAAAAACATGCAAGATGGTTTTACAGAGACCAACTACAGATTTCCAGTTCCATGAAGCAGCTCATGATGCGAGTCAAGTTTTGGGTTTTAGGGAGGTTCTACACTGGAAAATCACAAAATTATTGTCTAGTTTCTTGTGCAAATATCTTAGTAAATAAATAAACTTAAAAATAGCTTTTAAACAAGATATGGGAGTTGGTTTTAGCGAGTTGGCCAATAATTCCTTAATAGTATTGAAAAAGTTGACTAGATTGTGGAATGGAAGATACTTTAAATCACTTCCACAAGATGATGAGTCTAATGGCTCTGGAAATCTGGTGGCCGGGCGGCTATAAGGCAGCCGGTTTATGATGAAAGATTCTTAATAGGCCATAACACGGATCATGTGGTAGATATCTAACCGCTGGTTCGGTTTTATAGCAGTTTGCATCTCTCCAGTTCAGAACGAACGGGTGAATTTTGACTCTAAGGGTTTACCACACTTATCAATAACTCCACCTTTTTATGTCTGACGTTGACGTTTTATGTTCCGGGTTACACCGGCTTGGCAGAAAGCAGGCATGTTTTTTGGAACTGCGACCATCTCTAAATGAAAATGCTCCTGCGAGTGAAGAAAACGTCTAAGAATTTTTGGAGGGTTTTCATATTTGTTTTAGTTTCTGTGGAGAAAGTTCACGGTTAGTAAAACTTTTTCTCTAACTGTCCGGGAAGTTTACTCCCGCTGTCGTCCTTTCATTTGTCAACAAATTGACATATCAACACCTACAGATGCTGATTGTTACCGGAGGTTGGAGGTCGGCCTGTAGTTTGTGCAGATTGTACAGTAACTGCTGTTTCCAAAGCCTGGGGGAAACACCGGATGAAAGCGATGAGTTACTATTCGGGTCAGATTATTAGCAGCGACATGCAGGACTTTCTTAAGAAAAGGTGCGGGTAGGATAACAAGACAGCAGGAAGAGGAGCTTCATTTATTTATATATATTTTTCTAGGGTTTTATAGTAAAGTAGTTGAAAATGAGTCATTCTGCATTTATGTCTGGGTACAGCATTGGAACTGGGTTTAGTGTGGCTGATTAATCCTCTGACTTTTTTTATTTTCTCCGAAAAGAATTTGGCAAACTCGCTGCAGGCCGTGTTTGATTCAGGAGGTGACGTCACTGGAGGGCGTGCGAACCTGTCAACTGTTGCAAATAAAACTTGAGCATCGTTCATGTTTTGGTTTGATTTCCCCAAGAACGTCTCCTTGCATGTTTTAGTTGAGTGATGGTGTTTAGTTATAGATTTCATAATAAACGTGAAGTTGAGTTTTACGTCATTTACGTTCGGCTCTACGGCAGAGTTGCTTAGTTGATCTAACTGTGCATAGCTGACAGTATTACCTACCACTGCTGTTTGTGAATTTTGTTTAAAGTAAATTTTCAGAAAATGTAGAAAGTTGAGAGCACTGACTTTACAACATGAACCATTCTGCATGTTTGTCTGTTTACAGGTGGTTATAAAGTAATTGGTGT